AATATTACTGTTACTATTCTGTGTGTCTGTGTGCAACAATTGGTTTTTCTCCGTCTCTGCTGGGGGTGGTGTATTCTATATACCTACTATTATATGTATATCCCATTATATTAACAATTCGTGTGATCGATCGATTCCTCAGATCAAAACAAGGCTCTGCTCTGCAGTGCAGCTGCAGTTGTCGTCTATTGAGCTACTGATTACTGGTTCCTACGGCTGCTGCCTTGGCTTACTAGTGGAATAAAACGCCTTCGATTATAGCAATAGGTTTATAAATTTCGATTATGTGGGAATAACATATGTATATACTATATGTACATGCAATCTGAGTCTGAATCTGCCTGGAACCACTACCTCTCCTTGACTTTCGACACTCGCACAGCCCTCTGGGACAAATGAAATTTGGAACTTAATTCTCGAATGCATTTAAATCTAAATTGGTAATTGAGTTTATAAAGACCCAACTATTAACCTGAACATAATTCAATCTCTCCAACAAAAAACGCTGACTTACATTCGCTAAGGACTTAAAAACTCTAGTAATATAGAATGAATATGTGGGTTATGGGGATAGAACATGAATAAATAATAAGCAGGGAGGTACCGATTGATGCGGGCCGCCGCTATCGGATCTCTCAGCACGTTTTGGGCAACACTCCCCTTTCTAAAGGGAACGAGCTGGCCAGAGGTCCGACTGCAGCCGCTGCGATACAGTTCGTAGGTGCTTTTGTGGTTTTGTTGAGTATAAGATTGATTGTAACTATAACGAGTAAACGCATATAACATTCAATTGACTGCCCCTTAATTTCCCTCCCCCTATCTCTTGTGGCGACCGCGCATAAACTGCAAGGTCTTGGCCATCAGAGGAGCCTTCTTGGGTCGCATCGGAGCCACAGCTGCGGGAAAAGTAAACGAATTAAGTCAATGAGAAACAGATCAGATTCTTTAATTGGTTTACCTATTTGCGCCGTGTCACGACCTGCCCCCAGTACGCGCAGTCGGGCATCGCCCACCTTGGCGGCATTGGGCGTCACACTGGAGAGTGCGGCCACTCGTGCGGCTGGCGTAGCTATCAGTTTGCCCCTGGTGCCGTACTGCTCCTGCTTGCGTTGAACGCTGCGCGGTGGCTTCACCATTGAGTCCACGAATGCCAACTGAGTTTTGCGCACAGGAGCCTCGCTAATCCTCTGCGAGGCCTTGATGCTCTCCGCGAGTATGCTGAGCTTGCGATCCTTCTCCTCCTGACAGCGCTGCAAGGGAGAAAATACCTTGTAGATACCAAGTTTTCAGAGCATGGAGCGGCGATGCGTACCAAGTACATTTCACGCCACGTCTCCATCTCCTCACGCCGCTGGCTGCGACAGTTGCGCGTCACATGCATCTGCCATAGGACATCGCTGTCGTCCATTAGATACGGATTGTACTCCTCGAAGTTTAACAGTTGCTGGGGTGTTGCCCGCTCAAGAACAGGTCGAAGCACTTCAAAAGGCACCCCACCAGTGTACTCCAAGGCTGCCAAACAAAAAGAAAGTTAGCAACCCGCAGCACTATGCGATAATATGAGCCCTTTTTTTCAGCAAAAGAGGCCATGTTAAGCCATTAAAATTAAAAAATTGTTAGTAATTACTATCAATTGACAAACAGAACAGTGTATTCACGCACATTTAAAAGAAAGAAAAAGTATTCTGATTACCACGTGCTTAAAATTAGAGGTTATGTTGCGGATTACCACGTGGTAAGTTTGTTGGTTAAGTGAAAATCTGTGCACCCAGACTTTTGATGGGTAACGTATGTACAAATGTCTTTTAAAACTCTTTGAAGAGTACAATTATTAGAGCAAAATATAATAAGTAAAAATAAAAGGGCTATCCACCGCTAAAATTGACTAGAAAGTTTATTTTTTATTCCAAAAATAAATCATCCTTCTAGGTTAACCTCAAATGTAATAATTCTTTTGAGGAAAATGCATTTTTATACATATGTATGTTTTTATAAACTTTGGTTGTGTTTTGGTAGTGTTTTGATTACGAATATGCGTTGATTTCACTAAAATAATTGAGATAACCCAAACTACACAGGGTTCATTCTTACCATCGATGTTCTTCTGGAGGACTCGCGTGCACAGATCAAAAAGTGAGGCCACCTGCAGGATTTGGCCAGTCCTCACACCTGAGTAGATCTTAGTGCTGCCGTTCAACCGAAAGTTAATCAAAAGGTTCACTTAATTGGTAAAAAACTTGAAGTACCCACCGCATTGTCTTTGAGGAAATGCCTGCGGCCAGAGCCTCAGACTCGTTGAAGTAGCGAGCGGCTGAGGGCTTGTGGGTGCCACCGCCATGGTTGAATACCACATCCATGACTGTCTGATTCAGGGGCAAGGGTTTGTAGTTGTTCGAAATGCTAGGCAGCTCGAGGGCAATGCTCGGATCCAGAGGCTCCAGCTTCGCGGTGGAGGCCAGTAGTTCGGGTTTCTTAGGGAATAGCATTTCTTGGATTATCAATGGTTGGATCTTTGTCGCGTTTTTTTTTCAATTTACTTTGGTTGTGACGGGTCGGCTGATGCTGGAGGTAGCCTCCCTAAAGGATGGCGCCACAGCTGCTGCTGCTGATGGGGCCGTTGATGATGTTGATGTGGAGGATGTGGAGGCTGTTGTATGTGGCTTGGCCACATGCTTCGCTCTGCTGCTGCTGTTCTTCTTGCTGCTACTCATGGGCATGTTAAGCATGCCGAGAACGTCATCGAAATTGGCTCCCATGCTGGAATCGAAGCCATCCACGGAGTCCTCTTGACCGGTTGGTTCTTTGGTCGTTATGTTTTTCGCTATTTTGGGCTTGTGGGCGAGCTCCTCTTCCTGCCGCTGGGGGCTGCGGTGTCGCTTAGATGATTTGGATGATTTTGATGATTTGGACGATGAGGAAGATGATTTGTGTACATCCGATTTCTCCTTCGACGTCTTTTGATCGATGTGCTGAGGTTTATCCTGAAATATACATAGAAAGTAGGACTACATGCAGAAGTATTCTATAGATTAATACTTTACCTCTTTGATGCTCTTTTCATGCTTTGATTTGCGGTGTTCTTTGTCGCTTTTGTGACTCTCGGCCTTGCTGGTGTGTTGGCTAGTGCTGCTTCTGTGGCTGCTGCTGCTGCTTGACTTCTTTGGGGAGGACGAGTCCTTAGTCTTGTGTTCGCCATTCGATTTCTTGTCCCTGTGCTCCTTGGACTCCTTGCGGCTCTCTCGTTCCTTATCCTTGTCCTTATCCCTGGACCTATCATGGCGGCTGCTCTTGTGTTTCTTGTCCGATTCTTTGTCCGACTTTGAGCTCTTTGAGTGATGCCTACTGCTGCTGCTCCTCTCAGACTTGTTCTTGGAGCTGCTGTCGTCGTGCCCGGACTTTCGCTTGCTGCTGCTGTGTCCGTCCTCGCCGCCGCTGGATGAATTGCTGCCTTTATACTCCTGCTCCTGCTCATCCTCACTGGACCTTCGCCCATTCGATTTGCCCGAATCCTCCTCGTGGCTAGTAGTTCCTATTGCCGATGGCGTTGGCTCGGCGGGCTCCTCCTCGGCGGCCACCATGGCCTTCCATCGTGTGACTAGAGTGCGGGCGGCCACTCCAACCTCGCCGTTGAATTTTCGCAGGGCATTCACCGTCTTCCCGATGCCTGTCTCCTGCAGGTGCTCGAATTTAATGGGCAAATTGAACAGCTTTGTGATGCAGTGCATGAGCTGTGTTCGAAATCGGGTAGAAAATAGAATTATAGCAGCTTAGAGGTTAGATTAAACCCAGCTTTGAGTCTAAGCCCATGCGGCAGGGGACTGTAAATCTCTTGAAATTTCGCAAGAAAACGAAAGGCACGGCACCAGGTGCACAAGCATCTGCTCGACGCGACGACAGACAATAATCAAGGGGTATGTATCGGCACAAACAACACACACACACACACACACACACTCTAACACTTACCCTCTTCTCGTCCTCGCCATGCTTCTCGATGCTCCGCTGATAGTGACGCACAACATCGACCAGATTGTTTGTGGACGTCATTGCCGAGAGGACCAAACCGAGCTGCTGCTGGCTCCCGGATTATTGCGTATTCACTTTTCTTTTCGCTTCTGCTTTCTTGCGCCAGACAACTTTTTTAGACCCAACAAAAAAATGGCACGCAAGCAGCTTCGTCAATGGTTATTTGCATAGGTAATAAAACACCAAAAACCAAACACAAGGACACAAACCAGCACGAGCAAACGAAACACACACACAAAAATGGGCCTCCTGTAGCGGAGCGGCTTGTGGCGACTCTGCTATATCTTTAAGTACATTGAAATTTTTATGTTTCTTATTTCTTTTTTTCCCCGACTTTGCAATGTAATGAAAAACTGTGTGGCGTTTTCTAGCACTATTCGGGCCGAACAGCTGTCAGTGGCAGATGGAGTGGCAACGCTGACAGTGAACGAGCAATCGTATTCGTTCGATACTATCGATGTCCGAACTGCTTTTTTTTGTTGACCTTTTTTGCCAAACCATTATTTTATAAACAATCCAAAGAAATAAGAGCTTTAAAATAAATCAGTCTTGTAGGCAATTTGATTATCAATCGTATAAAATTATGAGTTCAGAGCTGACGGTTCTAGTTTGTTAGTTATGCTCGACGGAATATCAAAATCAAGGAATATGGTTTACAATCCTTGACGGATAACGATTAACCCATTGTAAGCCAAGGGGATTTCTTAATATCCCTCCAAAAATAATGCAAATTTAATAACTTTATCGCAGTTGAGCTAATATATATTGTGTTTTTTTTTTAATTCATAGGAAAGATGGCTTGGATCTATTAGAAGAATTTACAATCAGTAAAATTTTCCGCCATTTGCGTCAAGTCGTTGAACTATTTAAAGAGAGGGGGGCGAAGTGGGCTAAGTTCGATTTTTTGTTGTTGAGGCAACAAAATTGAGGGAAAATCAAAGCAGTCGGCGTCCTACTAAACTTGTCGATTTAATATAGTTTCTAAAGTATTTTCACACTGAAATGTCGGACGACGATTGCGATATATTCAGCTCTCTGAGAAATGATGCTCCCTTTAAAGGTAACACAACTGGAATGCATATAATTCGATGGATTGATTCAACAATTGTTTCTCTCTTGTCTAGAAATTCCCAAGGAGGTTTACAATCCGTCAAATGACTCGTTGTCCAATGAGATAGATTTGCTGCTTGATCGCACTACCACGAAAACCAGCAAAGTACCCAAAGTAAAGGCCACAGACAAAGCAAAGACCAAGGGAAAGGCCCGCAACAGCAAGAAGAGTTTGGAGGAAGATGACAAGCCCTTGGCGGAGGTTGCAACGGGCGGGCAGACTGAAGAGACGTCCCGTTCGCTCTCCCCCGTCTCCAAGCTGATGTTAGAGATGGAGCAAAAGAAGTCTAAAGAGAAAGAACAAGGGCCCGTGTCCAGACGTACCCGCTCCTCGCTGGGCAAAGTTGAGAAACCTGTGCCCAAGCAGCCATCGCCGCCTAAAAGGAAATCCCGGGCCAAAAGGAACGAAGTCCAATCGATTTCCGCTGTGTCGGCAAACTCCATTTCAGAATCTTTGAGGAATACCGTTGCCAAACCAAGGCCTAGCAATCGGAAAGAGCTGGCAGAGCTAGCAGCGCGATCAACCGTTCTGGATAGCATTGACTTGGCATCGAGTGTGGCTCCGCGTGTCGAGGGTTTTGTAAGAGATCTACCTACAATATGTATATAGAATCAATTATTATAGTTATTTCGCCGTAGGTGAATCTTGACTCTGATGACGAGGCCGCGAGCTCTGCACCAGTGGAGGTGCCACCTGCTGAATCAGAGAATCCACCCATGGATATTGCCTTGTCCTGGTAGGATTGTCAGATAGGAATTATTTTAGTTCTTTCTCAAACATGTGTGTTTTTTCTTTCCTTAGGTTTGGAGAGATTCAGAATTACAAATTGCGGCTGCATCGGCGTTTTGTGCACATGTTCAAGGAGGTGGCCGAGCGAAATAATGTAGATGTGGATGATGTTGTGATTGACAAGTACGACAGCCTTGTAGAGCCCACCGATACGCCCCACAGCATTGGTCTTATGAAGTTTCACACTCTAAGTGAGTGCTGCTTTAATTGAATGCATCCAAATGTATAACCCATATGAGTTTCATTATCTTTGCAGAGGGTCGAGCAGTGAAGTCGAATAACATCCACAAGCAGTATACTGTGCCCTCCGTTTTGTTAAAGAAGGCGAACAAGTTTCAGTTGAAAGTTCAGGGGGCTATGTTCAAGCGGCCCCTTGTGATAGCCATGAAGAAGAAGGACACTTTCAAAGTATTATATCGAAAATGTGCCGACGAACTTGACTGCGATGTCCACCTGGTGAAGTTATTGTAAGTAAATCGAATGTCTAAATATCAGCAAAACGTCTGAATTTGTATAAATAATAAAAAAACAGTTTTGATGGCGAACTACTGGATCCCGAGGATACGCCCAAAGACCAGGATATGGAAGGCAACGAGATAATTGATCTGAAATTGAAAACCTAAAAATTGTATTGTTTTTGTATTTATTGCGCCGAAGGCCTCTCTCAAAATTGTGTTTATAATTTGTTCCAATGAATTCAAGTTATATTAATTATTTATATTCTATTCTTTAGCTATGGTAGAAAATTAAAATGTACAAGTCTGACATAAAATTATAAAGGCTATTATATGCATATAGAGCAAATAGTTAACAGAGTTTTTCCAACTTTTGGAAGAGCATCTCCCCAAGTAGAGCAAAACTTTCAAAAAAAATAAACCCTCGAGCATCCATTATACACCCCCAATACAATACCTTGTTTATCTAGCATATACGCCAGATCTCGGACAGGCTAGAGCGGATGCTGTTCTTGGGCTTTCATATTTGCGGGGGGTGGCACTTGGGGTGGGTTTCGTGTGGGTAAGAGTTGGGGGAGGTTGGGGTGTTTGGAATAGTTGCCTCATTCGGCCGGCTTTTCTCTCTCTCTGTTGGGCTCTCCCTTATCCTTGTGCAGCTTCCCATGGAATTTCGCTGCAAAAATTCTGACACAGGACCAAAGGAACTTCTTCAGAGAGAGGAGCAAATGCAAAGCTCTCTCTCTATCTCTCTCTCTAGAGAGAAAAGCTCTCTCTTTGATTTTAGTCAGCTGCCAGTGGATTTTCCGACTCGTCGTTTCCTTTTCAATCAGAAAGAGTTTATCCTTCGTGCTTGATGGACGCCTTTTGTTCGCGCTTGTGCCAGCCTTCAGAGAAACAAAAAATATCATTTTCAATCGTATGAAACTTATTGTTATTGAAGCATTGTTTCGTTTTCCAATTTGTTTGCCCGACCCCCGCTCTCGCCCCCTCCATACCGTCAATGTTTGTGTGTGAAAATCCGTGAAAAAATCAAGTGAATTTCCCCCCACATAAAAGTGTCGTGTCGTGTGTCCCCACATTCTCCATATCATATATAAATATAGTATACGGAACGAGAGTATATGTGCATATACTATATTGCATATTTGGCGCCTAAAACTGTCAAAATAAGCGAAGGATACTCGCCCAGGCAGGCATTGTGTCGATTGTTATAGGTAAAGCACACTGTACCTACTGTAAATATCCTATTTCTGTTCCTCCTACTGCCTGCCCACCCGCTGACATTGACAGTGACTCTGACAAATGTGTTGGCCATGTTTACTTGGTGGCTTAAACAAGTTAATTGCCGTGCGCCAGACACAAAAACCAACAGCAAACAAAGCGGCAGAGGCTCCTCCTCCTCCACATCCAAGTCCAGCTCCTGTCACAACTCTAACTCCACCTCCACCTCCGACTCCGACTGCGAGTACTCTTTGTGTCCTGCTGCGCCCTTTGGCTGTGGCGGTACATGTGTTCATCACTTATTCAGGCTGATTGTTGGCATTAAATATTAAAGGACGGCTGTGCAGGATATGTATGTCCTGCTTATGAGCAGGCAGATCGAACAGAACTACTCGCAAAGAGAGGAGACCAGAGACCCTTTACTGCCTGCCCAGGCTGGTGCTAAAAATAAAACGTGACACCTGCAAAAATGTGCCTCAATGTACGCACACCACCTACTAGCCACCTTGCCACCCACTCATCCACCCCCCCATTCATGCCCAACCCTCACAGGCTAATGGCCTTGGCTGGCTGCCTGGCTGCCTGGCTGCCAGGCAAAGGCATAACTAGTTAAGGGATTTGCTCCAAATGGGACTCGACGGGCACTCGATTCTGCTCTGATTGCTCTGTCAGCAATCGAATGCTGCAGCATGCTGATTGGCCTCCCCCACGCACTCCCTTCCTCCAGCCTGCAGCCTCCTGCTGCCTGCTGCCTGCTTCCTGCTGAACGACCTTCAATTTGGCATGCATATTCGTGTAGCATATATCGTAATTAATAATGCCAATTTCCCCCTAAAAGCTTTCCCATCCATCCCATCCCTGGTCAAAAGCTGCAAAAATGCATCCGGTTCGAGAAAAATGCATACAATGGATAGCAGAAAAGGAAGGAACATAAGCGAACTATTTGGACATACTTTAGAGGAAAAGACAGGACTTTCGGATATAATAAGCTATGTGATCATATATATTTTTTGGATTTAGAAGGTGGAACCAGTATAGTTCTGATAAAAATCTTTATCCATACCTGTAAACTGTTTATTAAAAAAAATAAAAATTGTGGTACCCACAATTCTGTAGCTATAAAGCTGATATGTGGTTAAATTAAACATAATACCAGTATCTACCTATCGACGAAAAATCATCATGATTGAATAACTTTGACAGTCAGAGTGAGGCACAAAAGTACACATCTTTTTACTAGGTACAAGTATTTTTTTTCGCCATCTCGATCCTGGTCCCTTTGCCTTGCTATTTATAGCCACGATGCGACACACCGGAAGTAACGTAAAACGTAACAAATGACACTTTGGGGCACAATTTGCACACGTGTCGCATACGCAATTCACACACACATACAAATATGTACATGCAACACACACACACACAAGCGCATGCTCCTCTTCTGCTATATGCCACGTTAACATGCCTCGTTGCCTGTTTTTTGGTTGCATTGTCCTGTGCTCTGTCCGGTCCGACTCTGGCCCTGGACATGTACAATGTCCACTCGTTTTTCTGCGCCCTCCTTGGTTTCATGTTTTTTTTTTGTATGCAACGAGGGCGCAGCAAGGAACAAAAAACAACATGGAAGAAAATCACTAAACAAACTGACGCCATTTTGCCATTAATCCCGACCACTTTATGGGCCGAGCAAACAAACAAACTTGCCCCCCAAGCTATGCAGTTGATACCCTATAATAGGAGAGGGGTATCTGGATATTCGTTATGGTTTCTGGAAGGTACTTGGGATTTGATTAAGAAGAATTGCAGATTGGAGTGTATTGAAGAACTTATCTCTCTATTATAGAAAAATGTTTTGTGTCATCATCGTCCTATAATGTACTTATATTGGCGCCAGCTAGCGAAGCGAGTGAGCCGGGGGTTGGCGCACGAGTGAAGCGTCTGTGCAGGTTGTTTGCCGCATAGTAATATCATATAATAGTTAATCACAGATCCTTATTATGTTGGAAAGAAAACAGAAAGAAATCATCTGGTGAATACACGAAATCTATGTGAAAGAACCCTTCCATATCAGATGTTTCGACCCAACAGTTAAAGTTCTTCCAATCTGTGTATTTCAGATTCATTTTACTAGCTTTCATGAAGTACCTCTTTCGATCCTGCATCTGCATACGCCTCAGTAGTAATCCTTTACTTTCCGTCCTTTCTCTTTTCTCTAATCAATCCTACGCCAGGGTATGTCCAATTCGTAGCTAAAACATTCCCCTTGCAGACGTACATATGTATTCCATTGTTTGGTCTATTCATTTTGGTGTTTTTTCCCCTTTGTTTTGCCTCCATTATGCTTTACTTTGTTGCGGCATGTTTATTTTTGAGTTTGGCCCCAGTCCGATCCCAGCCAGTTCAGGACCAAAGTTGGTTAATGGTAGGACTGTCTGAAAGGTTTATGGCCCGTCCAGCTCCCATTTCCCATTTGCCAATTCCTAGTTCCTTTATTACGTTGTGTGTTTTACCAACAGCAAACACAATTGCCCTGGCTGGCCCCTGAACCCGTACTCGCCTCGACTTTTGTTTCAAGTGCTGCCATCAAATGGAGTGGCCAAACCACCACTCTGCGACTCGGATTCGCATCCCCATCCGCGTATTCCAGTGCTCCATTTAACTGGGTCTAGTGCTCGGGAGTCTGGGTACCCATTCCTCATCCTCATCCTCATCCTGGTTCTGGCTCTCCTTCTGGTCGTCGTGCATTGAACTGCTCTCGGTTACCTCTTCGATATTTTCTTACAGCGGGGCATGTGGCAGGGAGGAGGGAGTTCCCTGTCCAGGGCTCCTCCTTCTGGCGCTTTGTGGCGGCTGCCTCTTGCAATTATTGTTGTGCCCCCAACCCGCGCCCACATGGGTGATCCCCTTCACATTTGATGTGCATTTGCATTCGTGGCCCTCAGGCTATCGAATGCTTTTTAGTCCACGACATTGTCATTGTTGTTGCTCCCTTTTTTTCTTCTATTACACTTTTTTTGCCTTGCCACAAAGACCACTCCCACTCTGGAGTGCAACGGGGGAGAGGATAGAGAGGGGACAGCCATGGAGTCCGAGTGCGAGTGCTTTTATTAAAGTTTTTCGTATTGTTTGCCTTCCACAATGTCTCCTCTGGCAGCGACACCCAACACCCAACACCCGACCAGAAAGACGACCAGAAGTGGCAGTGGCATCAGTTGCAGTCTGCATCGTGCCACAGCCAGAGCGAAAACACAGATATAGCCTCCTCTTGTGCGGCGGGGCTTCTTGTTCGCCTTTGTGTGTACCTTTGTGTGATTTCCTGCTTTCCTGCCACAGGAAGTTGCTGTCTAACAATAACTTCAAGAATTCTGAATGCGTTGGCAGTATTTCAAATAGGACAAATATTTCTTATTAATTTTTGTTCAGCTAAATGGAGCAGGCACGGCACATGATTGTTGTCTGTAGAGGCCACACGAATACAGGAGAGCTACTTCAGAAGGATAGCGTTTAAAGCTCACTAATACCAAGACATTATCACACATTCAAGGCGCTTTGGATTTGTGCTTTCCTCAGTCTTTCCTTGTAGAGTATTGAATATACAAGCCATTCTATTAAATGCATCTCTTATTAAATTTTGTAACTATAGAATAAATTATATCATGAGATCTCCTCTCTCTTTAAGTGCATCTCATATTTGAAGAGCTTTCACATGCACACGACTCACGTACACAAGAAAGCTTTTGGCATTAATTGCTTTCAAAGTGCACCAATACCAAGACATTAACACACATTGAAAACTATTAAAGTTCACTATTTCCGCATATTTCTCTTTACAGTCTCTACAAGAACCACAAGAACGAATTACATACATATGTAAAACACCAGGAACTGGACCAATTTTTAATCAAAAAAACGAAACGAAACGAAACAAAACACACAAAAACAATCAACAATCTACTCACCGACCTCTTGCTAGACTTCTACATTCTATATACTCGTATACTCGAAGTCCATAATTTGGAAGAACCTTTTGTAACGACAACTTTTGGATAAACATATCTCTAGACGAAATCGAAACCCCATCCCCCGTCAGGAAAGGAAAGAAGAGGAGTGTCCTAGCCCCGTCCATCGATAACCCATTCCCCAGGAAGTGTAACCAGAGAAAGCATCCAAGACGGCGCCGCTTAAACCGCAAGCCTACAAAATTGGTCGAATGTTATGTTGTGGCTTCTGTTGTGGCAACATGTCGAAAAGGGATTACAAAGTTGCCACCACGGATGGCATCGAGCTGGAGCCGTTGGGCGGCGAAAAGAGCGACAAGGAGAAGGACAAGGATAAGGAGAAGCAAACGAATGGCGTTACCTTTGGTAAGTGTTCCATCTTAACAGCTATCCTTTATCCCTATATTGTCCTTATATACAACTGCATTGCAATTGCCTCGGGGGACACCTCTTCAGATGATCAAAGCCCTCTCACGAGCACGAGGAAAAGTGCATAATTGCACTTGTGCATAATCCGACGCTCCACGCAATTTAAACTCCCTTTTTCCCTTTTCCCTGCCAATTCTTGGCAGGCAGGGCTCCCTCTGGGATTTATTCATCAAGTTGTTTTCTTAATTACGCCAAATGCAAAACAAAAGCATTACAAATGCGACTCGTCTTCGCCGTCATCTTCCTCCTCGCAATCCACCCCGAAGGAAGCGGTTACTCATACGCCCCGTTGGACCGCACAGCCAGACCGCAGGCAAACGCAAAGTAAATGAATGTCAGCAAATGTCCCTACACTCTGCCCCAACCCCTACCTCTTAGTGTTTGCATGCCTGCCCCCTGGTCTAGGCAGGAGATTTTTCGAGATGTTTTTTACCCTGGAAATTGGAAAGTGGAAGGCTAGATGCATTTAATAGGTGAACTTACCTACTTTTTGGTCTGTTAATCCAGCAAAAAATACAAGTACAACAAATATCAACTAAAAAGCAACAAATAGACTAGCAAAAACAACATATGTTGCGACTCGCCAAAAACTGTTTATATCGTTGTTGAATTCTGGGACCGACTCATCTGCCCAAGTCATTAACGAATAGACGAAGGCGAACAAAAATTGAAATGGAATTTGTTCCGGATGCAATATCCAGATAATTTCATAGTCTTTACTTTCCACAATTTCTAGACGTTCTTTCAATATTTTGGAACTGATAAATACGCAAGGATAAATTCCCATTGAAAAGGGAATCTTAAGGGATTTTACTCTTAGATGCTTTTTTGCTATCTTCTGATGGAAGTCCCAGGTATCCCCATAGTCCTAATATCGACTATCCCGTTGATGTTCTTATTTCGTTTTTCTTACATCTCTTCTTTGGATTGCCTGCAGCAACGTGGGTTGAATTTTTTCCGCTTTGACAGATGTCCACCCGAACCGGCGCCCTGCTCCAGATGGCAAAGAGGCCACAGACGGGCGGACGGAGGGACAGACGAACCAAGAAACAGGCAGGCAGCCAGGCTGGCGGGGGGTCGGTGGTTGGTCGGTCTCCTCATGCTCTTTAAGCTGTCAGCAATTTCTGGAATTTTGAGCTTTCAATTGGGGTTTCTTTCGGCTGAAAGGCACCCCAGGAGGGGAACCTCAATTGCGGCAATAATATGCGCCAAATGAAGGGTTCGTCTGGGGAGATGAGATCGATTTAATATATATATAGAGAATGAGACATAGTCTGGAAGGGTGCTGTATTATATTTATAGAGCTTAAAGATACAACTGATTAGACGTTCCACCCCAGAGCTAGAGAATTGTCATTCCAATACCTGCTTTTAATGCTGGTTCCACTTAAACAGCCCCAAAGCCATCGTAATCATACATTAATCTGTCATATCCTTATCCCTTTCCATCCCTCTATCAACGGGGGTGCGGGGGTACGGGCTTGCTATCAATATACGTATCTGGCGACACGTTAAACACAAACATATGCAAATCATGTTGACTTTATCAAGGCAACACATCGCTGCCACTTGGGCATGCCGTGGGCCAAAGTGGGACACAAGAAGGCGCCAGTCTCGGCCCCGCGGCTCAACAATCCCCTCCTCATCCTTGGGGCGGCAAATCAGTGTCACGGGAACAGGACGTGGACGTGTGCTCGTGTCAGCCTCAGCATCAGCGAAGCAATTAAGGATGCATAAAGTGGAGTAACCACTTGACTCCACCCCCCCACCACACAGCCGCAGCAGGGCCACAACTGCCACAACTGCCACAGCTGCCACGTGGATACGAGATGTTTACCTGTGACGTAATGTGGTTTAACCTTTGTGCAGGTCACTCTCCCTTCGAGAAGGCACATGATCTGACATGTGCATGTGCTTGAAGGGGGAATGAATCTGGGGTTTCCCTGGGATCCAGATGTAATCAATTTAGCAATCATCCTTTGAGGATGGATTCCATAAGAGGATGAGGATAAGTAATCTGAAATGACTTAAGTTCTAAGTCCTGTAGTTCTCTTGTTTAAATATGGCAAACAACATAAAGAAATGTTTTTCTTAGAACACGACTCTTATAAACCATCCAACAAGTGCCGAAATCTCTCAGCGCTCTGCCAACAAGTGCTGAAATCCCTGAGGGTTCTGCAAACATGAGCTGCAATCCAGCAGAGCAGAGTTCTTTAGACTTTGCTTTTGAGCTCCAAAGAAGTTTACACATTCTTGGGGCTGCCGCTGCCACCCGTCTAAGGGTTAAGCAAGGAGGCGGTTGCTGTGGCTGTTGCTGTTGCTTTTGCTGTTGCTGCTGACGTTGATAATTGCAGGATGCGTTGCGTTGATTGCAGGCTGAATGGGGCTGGGGACACACACACCCTCTTGAGCACTTGAGGCGGGGGCTTGACTCGAATAAAGAATTCCTGCCTGCCTATCCGGGAGTGCATCAGCGAGATAAAATGGGTCCACAAGAAACAATTGAAGTGGCAGGAGTCTATCCCCGTCACTCTCCCCCTCTCCCTCTCCCTCTCTCTCGCTCTCTGTGTCCATGTGGAAGAGTGAAAGTAAAGGATACATAGAAATGAAATGTGTTTTTGGGTCAGGCAACTTCAAAACTCAGAAGAGTCGGAAACGAGAGAAAAGTAAAGCAAAGGCTTCGGAATGTGGCAGGAAGAAGGCATGAGGCATGAGGCATGAGGCTGGCAGGCGGCGGAAAACAAATGGCGAATGGCAAATGGAAAATGGAAAACGGTAACATTTCTGACTGACAAGCGCAACGGAGTCGGGAGAGCCGAGTCAGGCCAAGTCAACCCGTCAAAACGTCAGTGCGAGCAACAATTTATTGTTGCGAAATGGCGCAGGCAAAACACAATTAAATGCAACTACAAAGGACCCAAGGATCTCCCCTCCAGCCACAGCCTCCCAGCCAACCAACGACCCAGCCGCCCACTGGGCGCGTAATTAAATGGAAATGGAAAATGGAAAATATTGCCAGGGGCCGACTCGCTGGGAACATTCGCACTCATTCTGGCACTGGTACTTCTTGAGGGCCCAGGCACTTGAGGGCCTGCCAAGCCACGAGCACATTTGGTTTTTATGGTTTTACTCTTGCCCAGAAAAAGGGGTCTCTAGGACATGCCACCTCTGTAGGATTATAATTATGGTATCCTAAACGGAGAAGCTGTTCTAATGCTTTGGGATTCGATTTTAAAGCTGATCAGGTAACTGTATAGAAGTGTTCGAGTACCTTCTCAGAAACCTTTAAGCCCCTTCATGCATCTCCTCGTACCGTGTGTAAGGGTATCCAACCTCCCCTAAGCCTTTTTCCGGCTTATCCTTCCCCAAGCTGTGGCAGTCCCCGAGCTCTGGGGGCTCTGCTGAGCTCGGTTTCTGCACAATTAGTTCGACAACAACTCGGTTTCCGCCTGAGTTGATCCCAATGCCATTCATACTGGTATCGATTGCTTAACCCCTATGCACAGCCTTAACCCTCTCTGGTTAACCACTCGAGCTGAACTTTTTTCCGATTTGCATTGTTTGCCCCAGCAATGGGCCCAGGAGTGGCCCTCGAACACGGTCTGCCAATTAATTAAACCAATGGCAAATGCCTCAAATTGAGTGTGCAAATATCCTCAAATGCCTCCTTCCTCCAAATATAACTCATTTCCATATCAAACAGAGAGTGGGTATGATACGAGGGCTCTCAATGATATTGATATGGTTGACTTATTCCAGATTTATTTTCAGGGGGGAAAGAAACTCCTGAGATTTGGGGCACATGGTTCGAATACTAATTGTATCTATACAGATGTGTGACATTCAAAAATCCTAAGAACCAACGAAGCATAGGCTCATATATCTATATGATCCTGGCTTTTAGGTGCAAAACTAAATCTACTACAGTTGCTGACTCCTGAATCCTGGCAAATTTAATCAACTTTGATTACCGCCACATATATGAAGAACTCACTATCAAACATATCTTTTCTCTTTGGTTGGATTTACCTTTTTTCCATCTAGAGAGCACTGGGTCGAAATTTTGGGGTCTTTTCAAAGCTGCTAAATTGAAACTTTTGATCAGTAATAGTTTTTCGATATCTGTCCCACTTTTTGTCTGTTGACTTTAACAATTTTGTATACCATAAAGCTTAAAGAGCGACTTTATCTGTGTGATTATTTCGATTTTCGCCACATTCGGGCCATTTAGTGACCGCATCGAACAAGCCCTTAAACGAGAAATTACAAGGTTCGACTGCCCGCCCCAGTCCCATTTCAGTGCCACCACCGGGCCAGGGAGAGGGGCACAATCGCACCCTGCCACGGCCACACGAGGCAGCAGCACACACAGCAGTTCCAGTGGCAGCGGCAGTAAGAGCTGCAGCAGTAACAGCTTAAATTTATTGATTGTTTCATAAACAGCGATTATTTAACCACCGTATTTCTATGGGCATTCGGCATTCGGCATTGCCCCTGCCCCCGTCCCAGCCCCAGCCCCAACCCCAGCCCCATTCTCCCTCTCAATCCCATTTACATCCCCCATTCCGTGCCCCAAAAGTCTGTCGGACGGCAAACACTTGTGGCCATCTTCGGTGTGTGTACAACCAGTTAAGGTCCCAAGGCTATGGGCGACACTGGGGGTTTTTCTCCATACATTTCGATTCCACACATATGGGTTCAATACAAGATACTCGTGCGATGCGTTGGGGCGAGTGGGGTTGGTGTGGCACATGACAAGTCACAAGTGCGGGCAGTAAATTTGCATGCGACAGCAAATACTCAATAGTCGGCAGGGCCCTTGGTGGGCAGACGGGTGTCGAATGGCAAGAGGATGGGGCACGCTGTTGAGTAACTTGGTTAACACGAGGTCTGGTCTGGTCTGGTTTGGGAGGCCACAATTGAAAAGGGAAACGCAGC